CACAGAATAAAAATGTATATTGTTTAGGTCATACAAGTTCACCTTCAACATTAACAAATCATGTTTTGAAGGGTGGCCATGTTTCTAGTGCCTTTCCAGCTTTACTTTGGAGCAGTATAGCATGTTGCTTTCTTCTGTTTTATTTGTAGACTGTTCATTAACTTGACATAGAATGAAAATGCATAGAGATGCTACTTTACATTTCTTCTAAGTTAACTTGAGTGAGTCTCCTCTTACGCTAGTATCTATACAGATTTCAAAAAGTTATCCAATCAATTTGTTTGTGGCTTTATCTGTTCATTCATTTATAGCAACACTTTACCAAACATGGTGTACAACTAATTTGGATTAGTTCTGCTAGTGTATTACTCAGCATATTGAGATATTACATGATTATTACATTATTTTACTAAACTATTAATCTATTTACAACACCTTGAATAATATGGAAATAATTTGATCTCTACAAACTTAGTGTCATCTCAAAATCTTTCAATATGCAAAGTAACTTATTTATGCAGTTGTCCACTTAACATCAGTGCCTGACCTGCAATTTCCTACTGACCCAAATATAATTATTTATTCTTATTTTTTTGAAAGAAAAACACATACTTGGCATTACAAATACCAAAGAACCTATCCTTAAGAATATCAAACTGTATGTCATACATGATGGAAGAACATACCATTAGATTTTAAATTTAAAAAAGTTCAATGTATGCTTTTCATATGCAAATGTTTAGCTTTCATGATTTACTTGCCCTTATCTGGCGAGAAAACCCAAAGTGCCTGAGGGTTAAACAACCCCCCATCCCCCCACTCATGGTGTTTAGTTTAAGACAACCATAACAACAACAGAATTGTTAATGTAAATGCAGGAAGAGATGAAAGTAAGCACAGGTGAGAGCAAGACCATGAATGTGTTTCAACAAACAGCAGCTGTTCGGGGTAGGCAGTAATCAGTAAATCCAAAGCCCCAAAAGTTTAATGTGGGGGGAAATGGGAATACCCCTAGAAAGCCAATTTTCACTAGTTGGGACCAAAATTCAATTTTAACTCTAGTGCCATATTGACTTGCAGAAGAATTTCTAGGAATTTTTTAAATTGGGGAAGAGGGGGGCAGACACTGGACACAAAGTCAGTTGGGGCAGAAGGGGTGGGGTAAAGTGTTATTAAGTGCAACAGAAATAGGTTTTCTGCTTTTAAGAATTTATCTCAGGCTCTCTTTGCATTTCTTTGTGGTAGTCTGATGCCATTTCAAACTACCATTTAACCCAAACCCTAGGTCACATCTGATGGGACCCAACATGTAGAGAAATTTAAAAATCTTAAAAGGTTAAATCCTGATATATCAGATGGAGAAGAGAGGCTGCTTGGAGAGAATAACTCTACAATTGGGGTCTGGTGCTCCCAACTCCCTCAGTGGATATGCATATGTTTATCTGGTCTTTTAATTATTATTTATTTTTGAAATTATCATTTAGGTTATTACTATTAGTATTACTAACTATTAGTACATGGTTGTGTTTCATGGCTGCCCGTTAGTGTTATATAATGGCATAAACAAAATTGCTACTTTTCATATGATCACACAACTCATAATTATTACTAATGTTTGGGTTACACTTAGTTTCTAAAAAGTAAAATAAGAGTGATGACCAAATGAATGTCTCATAAAATTACATCATTATGTACAATTTGGTTTCAATTTCATATTCAATAACCATGTACACATCATTACGTCTTCTGTTAAAGACTCTGGAGTCATGCAGTGGAGAAAAAATATAAATTTAAATTCTAATTCTTATCTTACGATTCGTTAATGGCTGCAACAACGAAACTAGAAAGATCGAATGCCCGTTTCACTTTCAACAGCGCTGGTACTACTAACACTAGTAGTATTTCTTCGTAATGTCTAAGAATCAAAAGGATTAACCGTTAATAATACTTCGTTGAACTTAAATAGAGAACATACCTATTAAAATATCATAACTATTCTGTTGATTTAGACTTATCATGTCAAAAAACGATACTAGAAAATTTAAGAACTCGACCTTGTATTATTCAATTTCCACTTAGTAACCAAGGGACGGTATCCAACTATTTTCATTGTTGTTGTCTTGTAAACACCAGAAACGGGTTGTATTGATTGACCGGGCTATGTATCTTTTCATACCAGATAAAGCTTTACCTTTTGTATTTTATTTATTGAACCTTAGTGTTTTAAAAAATTGTATGTTCGCTTAACGTAAAAAATTATTATTATGTGTATAGACTTTATTAAAATGCACATGATGATTAATATTTACAAGTGATATATATAATATTTCGACATTGAACACAGCAATACATTATCGTATCGATTCGTAACAATGCCATTTCACTTCCTTTCATATTCACATTTCAAAAATTTGTTTTTTGATAAATCGTTAATGATGTTTATGATTATAAAAAATCAAAATATTTATTACTTATAACAAATTAAAAAGGAGATACTAACCCAGATGAAAAGATTTACCATTTGCACAATAAAGGTAGCTTTCCAGCAATACTGCCAGTGTTATAAATTCCAGGATCATGTTAAAAATAAAAAGCTATCAGCACCATTAAACTCATAAGTAACACCTCACAATGTGTTTGTTCAAGATTGTTAAGGGAATTGATAGTGTTGATGCATCATCTTTTTTGTATTCAAAGGTGAGAATGGTAGGACTTGGGAAGACAAATATAAATTTTGGCAGCTAGGGTAGGAGTAATCTTTAGCTGAGACAGCTTTTTTCTAAAAGAGTGGTTGGTCTTTGGAATGGTTTGACTTCAGATCTAGTGGATGCAGTTAATTTAATGGAGTTTAAGGAAAGGCTTAATAAATATTTTAATTATAAGGGTTGAATTTGAGTGTTTTATTTGTATTTTAATGTTTAATTTAGTGAATGGGATGGCTAGATGAACCAACAGATTTCATATTATCCTTAAACTAAATGTATGTATAAAATCCTCAGTTTTAAACTATATATATAACTTGTTACTTAATTCAATAATTAATGTGTACGAACAAAGATTAAATTATAATTCTAAAACAGAACTGGAAAAATTACATTTGACTGATATAAAGTAATATACACATGTTAAGCTTTGTACAAAAAATAAAATAAACTACCACAATAAATAAGATTTAGAAAAATAAAATGGTTTAGGGACCATTCACAATTATCAACATCATCATAAAGATACAAAGAGTATCCCCCTTCCAAGAATGTCAGACTTTTGTTTCTCTTATTTGTAGTGTATTTGCGATTCAAAGATAAAGTTCTCCAAGCAAAGTTCTCTCTCTACTGTACAGAGGTTTAGTGTTTTTCTTCTATACAATATAGTAAATTTAACTTGGCATCCTTTATTTTTTTTGGTTAATATAGGAAGATTTTACAGTCATAATATTACTTAATAACAGTAAATCAATTATATAGTTACACATCTCCTGAACTTGTGTCATATTTCTCATGGCCATACTGCTAATAAAGTAATAATACAAATACCTGCTTCTCGACAGTGTTATACTGAATAAAAAAAAATCAGCAAAGAAAAATTATCTCCACCTCCAATGTCTACAAGTAGCCTGTGTTGTTGGATGCAACAGTGAGTGCCAAAAAAAATCACAAACACACACACTCATTGCAAGGATCAGTTACAACACTTGGAAATTTGACCTAGAATCACAAAGTTCACAGTGATGTGAAAAATACTTTTCTTATGTACAAGGTTAATTAACCCTGTCTCCCCTATATACAGTTTGTATGCTTGTGATAATGTTAATAATTCTGAACCTTTTAATAGATTTAGTTTTATATAAAGAAATCTTTGTAGATCTTACAATAATGGAAAAACTCCTTCGCCACCTATTGAATGACACCACAAACAAAAATCCATAAAAGAATTCATACTTTGGGTATTCAAGAGCCAGCCCAGGCCCCAGGGTCAGTAATATCATTGCCCCCCCCCTTTCATTCTATTTATTAACTTTGCTGATTTATCATAAAAGAAATTTAGGTGACAAACTTCTTCATGAATCCATGAAAAAGCAGTAGTAATTTTAGCTCATTAAGCAGTATGCATTTCTAGTGAGCTTTGAAATATCCCACTGTCAGGCCCCTCAACAGACCCCAAGCACTGGGACAGCTGCCCCCCTCCTCTCGTTAGCCCTGGACTGTATGTGAGGGTTTGATTATATCTTTATTGATGTAATTTTTAAATTTAGTAATGAGAAACTGGAGTTCTTGAAAAAACTATCATTTTATTTAACAAACAGTACCACTTTAAATATACAAAGACATTATAGTTTAATACTATCATTAGTAATTACGAGCACAAACAGCTGCCTATAGTGCAATATTTTTGCTAGTAAAAGTAATAGCTAACATACATTATCAATAACACTAATATCCTAACTTTCTATTAATTTTTAAATTTAGTAATGAGAAACTGGAGTTCTTGAAAAAACTATCATTTTATTTAACAAACAGTACCACTTTAAATGTACAAAAACATTATAGTTTAATACTATCATTAGTAATTACGAGCACAAACAGCTGCCTATAGTGCAATATTTTTGCTAGTAAAAGTAATAGCTAACATACATTATCAATAACACTAATATCCTAACTTTCTATTAAGCCTTAACGCACAAATATTAATACAGAAAGGATCATCTGACAATCTTATCATAAAATTCTTTAAACTCATCAACTATTCTTATTAAATGTTTGCATAATTAATGTGTGCAATGCATATTTAATAAAGCAGTTCAAACACAGCCTTGATTCTACTTGTTAAATACACATTCATACAAATCATGTTTGCTACTCATTACAATGAGATTTTTAAGAAATGGTATCAGAACTTAACCACCTGTTCCTTTTTTATTAACATTTATATTAAATTTTTCACACTATTCAACTACAGGATTAACTCTTTGCCAAAAACTTACCAAACCAGCCATATGCTGAGAATTCCTTTGTTACTGAATATGTTAGGTGAGCTAGTCGGGGAGGACACTTTAAAGAAGTTTCTTTCTGTTGCTGTCTTGGATGAATATCTGGCAGATGTTCAAATTTAACTTCATTTGCATAATTTAAGCCAAGAGGTTGGTTTACAATTGGAGAAGGTGGAAAAATAGTGAATTCTGAATCCTTGACATTTGTTTCAGGTTTTCTGGTATAAGTACCAGGGTTATAGTGATGACCAATAATGCCACTTTGATGCCCAAATGACTGTATTATAAATACAAAAATAGGTTAGAGCTAACGACCACAAAATATGTTACATGTTTATGAGCAATACTACATAAAAATATTAAAAAACAAAAAGATACTTGTGTGAATTATTTTATATATTTAAAATACCTGCAAAGAAATGTAATAGCATAAAACAGGAATAGCATTAATGTTAGAGTAGCAGTAAAAATAGATTATGATGATACACTAGTAAAATCACAAGCTCTATCACAACTGTATATCTTAATACACACAAAATACTTACAGAAATGACATGTACATTTAGAGTTCCTGGTGTCTGCAGAATACAGAAAAAAAAGAATTATTTGTATTCACCTGTCAAATAAGAAAATTATATGTCCACATGTATATCACTCTATCTATAACATATGTACAACCTGTACATTTTACAAGTTAAGTTAAAGATTAAGTATCGAATGCTAGGAACTAATTTTGAAGTTAAAACATTTCTTTGAAATATTATAATCATTGGCATCACAAAAATTAGTAGCTGTACTTTTAAAAAAAATAAAAGGAGGCAAGTGAAACATTTAACCTAAAAAAAGTTTCACGAGAAGCGATACACATGTACCTTGCTCTTCATCTTTACAGTAACCACATTATGGTGACTAAAGAAACATAATGTATAAAATCCAAATGGGCAATAACATTAAGAAATACACTTCATAACTTACATAAAAAAAGTACCATCAACACTGTAATTAGTTCTACTAATTGCTGTTTGTACTTTACATACAAATTAAGTGATTTCACCTAATCTTTTTTTTTTATCAGTTCTTAAGAATGTATTTCACAGCCAAAGACATAAAACTACTCAATAGGATACAAAAAATTGACCTCACTGGTACAGAACAGTATTTGAACAAGTCAGTAATTTGACTACGTATATTTTTATTTAAAATTATTTTTAAATAGATCACTTTTACCTCAAGATAATGCCACAATGTTGGACTATTTTTCTTACCAGTTTAAGAAATTCCTCACATTAAGTAGGCATGGATGTGAGTTACTTAAGTGATAGTTAAGCTAACTTGTCAACCTGTTTCATTTTGGCATGTGAAGACTTTAACACTGATACAAATCTGATTTTATTGTAGGTCAAAATAGGCATTTTTGTTGTACCATATTTAAATATCTATGTTTTTAGTGCTTCAATTATTTTTTCAAAACAATATATTTGTATTAAAGATAAAGGTTATGATTACACAGTAAAGGTTTTTTTTAGCACTGGACATAAACATGCTCTTCCACCTTCAATTATGGAGTTCATTCGTCAGTGTGTTTTTGGCATAGCATGGTACCATTCATAACTTCAAACTACTCATCATAAGGAGGAAACAGGTTGGCAGCAACCTCTATTTTTTATGTTATTTAGTTAAGCCCTATGTATTAATTCATTACTTTAGTTTTACTTAATTTAATAATTTATTACTATAATTATTAGGAAAGTCAGTGAGGGTGATTGACAGTTGGAAGTTAAGCTCTCAGAATTTTTTTTATTTATGATCCAATCAATATTTTTCTTAATTTCCTACAAATATTCTCATCAATTTGTAGTTATTTTGAGAATACAAAACTTTATTAAGTTATTTATTAAATTCATGTTTGTTTGTCTTGTTGCCATAGTGTTTTGTTGACAGGAATTAATGGGCCTATTCCACAGTGTCAAGCAGATACATTAGACAGTATCATCTTGCAATGTTTTTACTGGTATAAACAGTTATCAGAATAATTCATAACTTGTTGATTTACTACCATGTGACGTTACATCATCAGTCAAAGGTTAATGAAAACAACTACAAAGAATCTTTATCAAGATTGCACCACCTATTGATAAATACTGATTTTATTACTTAATTAAAATGGCAATTTTTAGTATTCCTGCTATATTAATATATATATTTGGGCCAATTTTTACAATATATATATATATATTGGCCCATCAGTTTATCAGAAGACATCTGAAAGTCATTGAACATGGTGTTATTTTGATATTCTGTTATTCCTCTTTGAAAATTGTGCATATTCAATGATTCTGCTCACATCCACAGGAAAATATAAAATAAAAAAATGTACATGCTATAAAAATATTTTTTAAAACTACTAAATCTTCATTAAAATCAATAAATGTAGCTACTAAAAAAACTTCATTAACAAAAATACATTTTCAAGTTGATTAATATACTATGCCCTCCAGTGGTTCAACAGTAAGTCTGAGGGCTTATAGCACTACAAATTGTTTCAATACTTGTGGTGGGCACAGCAGAGATAGCCCATTGTGTAGCTACGTACTTCACTACAAACAATTTACTATACTATAAGTACACACAAAAAAAGGAAGATTAAAAAATTATGTGCTCCATACTCTACCCTAGTAAACAATGTAAACTGCCACTACACTGGTAATACATTACATCATTTCAAAAAGAACCCATGGGTGGTCTTGAACTCTGAATTTGATAATGACAAACTTGAGAAATTAAAAGAAAACTTGTAGATATTTAATTTTCAATAATAGCACTAACACATGAAATAATTCAGATTATTTAACTTTTAAAGGTTAGAATTTTCTAAACTAAAAATGTATTTCCAATAGAAACCACTTCTCACAAAATAGCTTTTCTTGATTAGTACTGCCCTCTATCGGTGCAAATTTTTAATGCTCACCACTAGCCTTCCACCTCCCGCTTCTGCATATTCAGATGCAAATGATCATGCAGCAGCTTTCAAACAATAGGAGCACGACAAAACTATTATCATAACCAGCACCCTCTTCACATTTGCACTAAGTGCATTAAAGTTTTAATTTAGTTTAGAGAATGGGACAGCCTAGATGGACCAATAGGTCCCTTGTTGTCCCTAAATATTACGTTATGTTAAGATGCTGGATAATAAAGCTTTTATTGTACATGTAACTGTAAAATAAACTTAAATTGTAGATATATCATTTTCCAGTATCAAATCTGTAGGGTTAAAGTGCTGTGTTTGAAAATATTAAAATCACTGTATATTTAAAATGATGAGTGACAAATGTACATGAATTATATATCTATATATTTTCTATGATATGGAAATGCTATATATAAACTACAGGTAACATATTAATTGTAGTTTTATGACTCGTATACACCCATCTGCTATATGAATTTATAAGTGGTTGGTAATTATAAACAAATGCCTGTAATTCAGCCTATCTGTACATGTATAACCCACGAGCATGGAATGCATTAGGATTTAGTTGGTGCTCCAACACAAAACATTTTACCACTGATAATATGATTCACTGTATTTACAAAAGCTACAAAGAAACTACTTATATCATTCAAAGTTCTCTCCATTATGTATACTGATTACATAACATCGTCTTATCAAACTTCAAATTATAAAGGATCATTATAAATATTTTTAACTCTTGAGAGTATTTTAACAATAAATTTACTCTTCTTTTCATACTTTAGAAAGTTCCTTATACAGTTAACATTCTTTCTTTGTCAGAAAGTTCAATTCATTATCAAATCTAAGAAAAGGACATGGAAGATAAAATAAGTAAGCACATTTTATTCTTTCAGTACCTTTAAGCTTTGATGAGGACACCACACACAGCCAATCAGCAATCCAACAAGGACTATTACTACAGTCACAGCTATCACAGCCAACAGAGCTACCTTTAGGTCAAGTGGTGTTGTATCAACCAGAGTAGATGACTCTGGAAAAATCCCAAATTTAAGTCATTTCCAAGATGTAAATTAATGAATCCTAAAAAGATGACATTACCATCAGATCATTTTGATGACTTTGGAAAAAAATATTAAAGAATATATCAACTTATATGAAATTATGTCAGGAAGAATGAGATGTTGAAACAATAACAAAAAACTTATGGTATATATAACTGTTGACTACTTAGCTTTTACAGATTCTAATTTACGAAGACCTTTGCTGCTTAAAATTCTTGTTGACATCTGTTTGTCTGAGAGAGAAAGTAACAACTGTAGCTTATTTATGTTGCAGAGATACAACTTCTCATGTGGCTGAGTGTCCAATGTGGGACTTGCAGATTCTGTCACGGTTGTTGCATTTGTACGTGATGTCAGAGGGTGGGTCTGAGTCATTCTGTCTCTCATTTTCTTCAACTACTTAAAATAAAATTACACCAAACCAACTACTATACCTAATGCTTCTTTGGGTGGCTTTCTCTATGATCAACCTAGCTGGGCTGACATAGTTAGAAATGCAGATCTTAACTATTTATGATGTAGGCTTAGTTATAAAATGCAAGGTTTAAATTTTGCACTTACCTACTATTTTGTTAGTTATAGTAAAAAAAAGTACATATCTGCTAGTGCTATTTACTTACAAGTATTGTAATCATGCACATTATATTACACTTAGTATACTTTTCAAAAATATTCAACATAAATTGCACCTTATCAGTATAAGAAATTATAATCACTATTATTCAATAAAAAATACATTATGCCTTACATAGATATGTGTGATAACCATTGATTATGCCTTACATTTACCTCTGGTATAAGGTAAACTTACATACATAATACACAAAAATTGACATGCCATGGAATAAATAAATAAATAAGTCCAATATTTACAAGGACTGTCAAATCAAGAAATGTTATAATCTTATCCTCAGAAATGTATATTATTACTTCTAGAATATTGTTTAAAAACAAATGTATATCCACCTTAAAGGTGAATTAGAAGTTTCAGACTTTATAGGACTCTTCTCTTAAATAAAAGTATAAACACTGTTTTAAGAATTTATAAAAATATAAACTATATAAATTATAAAAGAATAAAAATTAAAGAATATAAAAGAATACTAGAAAAAACAAAAATCATATTATGAACCTTTTTAGGATAAAAAGAAATGTAATAATGGTATCTAAATGCATAAATATCATTCATTATGTTCATATGTAACTTAAAAAATACCAAATAACAGACTCAAAAGGAATTTTTATTATTATGTGATTAACCTACAGTGTACTGAAATATAAACAATATAATTTGTAAGGTGAAAAAGAAAGGAAATGGAATATCCATAAGTTTTAATAATATTGTGATGCTACACAAAGATTTGTTTCATAAGTTCAACATGAAAATAAAAATAGGTTTGTAACCTCAATCATGTCCCCTCTAACTCTTCTTTCTTTCAAGAGAAAGCAATTTCAGAGATCTTTTTTTTTTCAGTAGACAACATTATTTAAGATTGTTCATAATTTATTTCCTTGGAATGAAAAAACTTGATTGTTTAGACTATTACATAAAACCAGGTAAATATTTCACTGATTCTAATTCATTAAAAAATTAATTGATTTATCCCTTTCACAATGGGAGCCCCCTTTAAATGCTTTTCTGTGTATGTCACTGTGTTACATTCAAAATTTAATCAAACATCTTTACTATCAATGTATGTGAATGAAATTAATATTATAATGTATGCTATGATTTAAAGTTTTATTTTTAAGTCCTTTATTTGAAAATAAACCTTTAATTTAATAATTTAAAATTACTTAAAACTTCAGATGTATTGCCACGTGACCAATGAGCTATGAAAATTCTCTACTTTGACTTTCTGTATCTTCAATAACACAACGGTGTTGAGTAGAGGTATGTCCGAACAATAAGTTACTTACATAATTTTTGACATGTTCATATCAAAGTTCTATGAATGAATACAGTTGGAACAAGTACTAATTTTTTTAAACTCCTGAAAGGTGCCATGCCCACCTTCAACAGATTTGTTTGACCTTTATAGCCTACATGTAGATGTTACATACACATGTGTATAACAATTAGAAAGAACTCATTTTACACTATAATCTAACAACAGTTACTTGAAATTGGCTCACAAATTGTCGTCACAGAGTACATGTAACTGACTGTAGTATTGTTGGCTGCTAGGTCGACTACAGCACTTATAGTTTTCTTACCTAAATATGTTATAGTTAGAGATACAGTTTAATTTGTATTTAGGTGTTAGAATTATATTTTAGTTGATAATGTATTAGTTATGTTTTAAAATGCATAATTAAAAGGTTTAAACATTTCAAAATATACATCATACTTTGCATCTGTTCTCAAAGCTTACAATATTACGTGCTCAACAAAAATTTTGCTGACGGGTTGAGCATGTCTTTCAGAGAAACTGTAATATACCTTGAGGGCACCATTGACTTGCAGCAAGATGAATAATAAGTGGGAATAATAAGACCTGAAATTACAAATTTAACAAAAGGAAAATCTTTCAAAATATTCTACAAAAAATTAAAAGGTATGTATTTTTTCTATTTCCTAATTTTAATTACTTCATTGCATTGTACATTGATGATAACGGCTAGAGTTAGTGATTTGGGACAGAAAATGAAAAATAAAATATAAACATTTACCTTAAAAAAAAACTTTTGATATCTTTCTAGGAGGTTTTAGAGATTATGCAAATGAAATATGAAATTATAAGATGAAGAAAAGTATTTTTATACTTAAAATGAAAATCACCTTGCAATCATTTTGCTAATAGTTTGAATGCAAGTAACTACAATAGAAAAATAACATTTTTAGTAAAAACACTTAATTATAATAATGTCATTCTTTGTGTACATCTTATCAGTTTTTGAAGGGATATGTTAAGAAATCTCAGAGTTACCACATATATTGTTGTACAAGAGAAATTTGTGACTCAATTTCCGCAAATTGTATGAGCCTGCTGTGAAGAGTTAACAAGTCTTGCAATAGCTTTAGTTACAACCCCCTCCCTTCTTTTAACTGCCTATATATGTTGTTGCTAAAATTTTATTACTTTTAATGAATCAAAATCTGTTTTTTTGACAAGTTATTAAAATTTGACAGTACATTTTTACTCCTGTTTTTCAAACTTTATTTATTTGTATTTTCATGGCAATACTATTAAGGTTGTCTACCATCATTCCTAATTCTTAATTGCCAACCACAGGGTTTAGTTTGTTTGGAATATCATGCAAAGCTACTCCAGGGCCATCTGCACTAGCTGTTCCTAATTTAGGAGTGAAAGACTAGAGGAAGAGCAGCTAGTCAACACCACCCACTCACTGCCAACTCTTGAATAGTGGGATTGACCATCACATTATAAAGCTCCCATGGCTGAAAGGGGTGAGCTTGTTTGGTGACAGGAATTTGAACCTGCGACATGCAAATTGAAAGTCAACTCAAACACAAGGAAGATAACAGGTTGGCAGCACCCACAACCATGTCTTGGGAATTTTTTTTACCAATGAAAAATTGGACTGACCATCACTTTATAATGTCCCCAAAGCTGAAAGAGAAAGCATTTTTGGCACAGTGTTTCAATCCCATAATCTGCAGTTTGTAAGTTGAGCACCCTAACCACAAGGTCATGCAGGGTCATTTATAATTGTTTATTTATGCCACATTTGGAGTACTGTGTTAAGTCTTTGGCTCTTTACCTTAGAAAGAACACTGAAGGTTTAGAGAAGCACTACTAGGATGATACCTGGAACGTAAAGGTTGTCATACAAGGACAGATTCTTTAGTATTAACTTTACTTCCTCTTTTTCAATAATGAAGGCTACATATTTCTCAAAATATCAGAGGTACGTAACTCTCTTGCACTTTTACTACTGATATAACTTAAAGAACTGGGAGACGAGCCACCAGCATCACTCACGGGTAAAGAACATCAACATACAAGTGCTCATAGCAAAGAAAGTGTTTGTATGCACAGGAATATTATAAATATATATACACACACACACACACATGCACATAATCTTCTGTAATTACAAGTGTTTGCTGTTGATTCATTCTTATTGTACTCATTTTGTTCTTCACTGGTAAGTGTCTCATCTAAACATTCATTTTGTAATGGTACTGTTGTAAGGTCACTAAGATGACCATTTTCATCTGTTCTTGAAGCCAGTCCAACAAAAGATTCATGCATGGGAGTTCTATATTGTTTAAGGTTCCTTGCACATCTCTCTTCAGGCTCTTCTAATGCTTCATCTCTCACAGCCGTTAAACAATCAAGATCTTGATATGAAAACTGCTGGTCAATCAATTTACAAGGTACTATAGCAGGTCTGTACTCATTATCTTGTGCTTCCAGTTCAATACTTTCAGTGGGTAAAGATTTTACCTGTGAGCTAGAATCTGCTTCACTATTCATACAAACAACTGGTTTTGTAATCTCTTTCAAGCCAGCTGGTTCAAATGACCTAACTACCCATTTTTCAGAATTAGTGTCAGATTTTGAAAATATCTCCAAATCAACTTTTTCACCCTGTTTATCCATATAAACACTGCTAAAGGGACAAGGTAAATCTAGTATTTTCTTATTTTCTGATGTTATGCACCTATCACTTGATTCATCCATGACTTTTAAAGGACCTGCACTGGGAAAAGTACTTTGCCAGTTAGAATTAAATTCTCCTGAAGAATGAACTACTTTCTCAAAGAAACATTCTGAAGTTACTTCTTTGGGTTTAAATGTTGGTAGCGTCTTTGGTGATAAATTATTAGGTAAAGAAGGAACATCCTTATATAATTCTGAGTTAAAAGAAATTTCATGACAACAGGAGTCTTTACTAAAAGTTTCCTGATGACAGAAACTTTGGCTACTGGGATTTTGATTTTTTTCAGCTTGGGACTGAACATACTTGACATGGGTACCTCTTATATGATGAATTTCCCCATCAATTAGAGATGTGTTGTTTTTTTGTTCATCTTCAATATTCTCTTCTTTAATGGGAAAAGCACTATCATTGCCACTCAAGTCTGAATCTGGAAATAAATTATCTGCAGGATGCTCTTGAAGAACACTGTCAAGTACAGCATCTTCCCTTTCAAGTAACAAACTTTGTCCATCATCTTTATAATCACAGTTTCTAGCTGTAACAATGGAAGCTTTCTTATTAACTTTATGATTTTTATCTGTTACACAACAAGGTTTGTTTGTGCCAGTACACAAAACTAATTGCTTTGTAACACTCTCTTTATTAACATTAGCTTCTTCAATAGCCTGATAGTCCAAATACATGTGGTTGTTGTTAGTACTTGATATATCACGAAGAGGAAAATTGTTTTGTGGAACAGTGGAATCATGTTGAACTGGAATATTACTCGGTTCAACAGAAATGCTGCTGGTTGTGATAAGATCATCAACCTTTTCAACTGCAGTACTAGTATCAACATCATTTAAAGGTTCTTCTGATATATTGCTTGAAATCAAATTTTTCACTGTTCCTTTTAATTGTACAATTTCAGGACCATAAGAATTTTCATGGTTATTGTCAACATCTTCTGGACATGCTCTTGATTTACTGGTGATGTATCTGGAATTCAGCAAAAGAAAAGTATCAGTATCACTATACCTTAATTGATTGTTATTACAGGGTGAACCAAGATGGGGATTTGACTCAGCACAGGAAGGTGTTAGATCATAGTCTTCAGAATCAGATACACAATAAGCATAGTTAGTTTCAGGAGAGGAAACTAGGTTGTTAGTTTCTAATAGATAGAGGGGAGGTTGAACTAATAAGACCACCACCAGCAGGGGCAGATGTACAGACAGAAGCAGGATGGATACAGATAGGTGATGTTACAGTGATCGAAGCATTTATACATGAGCTAGTATTATCAAAACAAGCACTTACATAGCCTGGTGCAGCTTTTGAAAGCAATTCTTCTTCACAGGCACTTCCTGAGAGTAGGCCTTTTGCATTTATTGACAATGATTGTGAATTGTAATTTTCTGTATGAGTAAAGAACTTAAGTTTGTAGTCTATATCTGAAGAATTCATAATTTCTTGTTGATCAGGCAAAGAATAATTAGTTATTTGTGAAACAGCTGTAATAGGTAAGCACAGTTTTTTAATCTCTATTTGTTGTTCTTCCAATTCCTCACTGGGTATTTCCTTGTTACTGTGGTGAACAAAAGTATACTTGTCCAATTCTGACTTGTTTTCTAAAGAAGGTAACCCAACCCAATCATTACTTTGATCTAAGTCTGCTGTATACAACTGCATACACTCTATCTTATTCTTAGCTTGAGACTTTTCCTGAGATGAAACGTTTTTAAATTCATCTTTATTACTTACAAGTTCATAGTTCTTTTCAAATTGAACAAAGGTGTTTTCTGAATCAATATCTGATATCATTCTTGATGTCTCTGACCAAGCACATGGTTTCCAGTTGGAGCTATCTTTTACGTGAAGACCTTTAAAAGGAAACTGATTATATGTAACAGATGAATTACCTTCAATTTTTGGGTCTGAATTCCATGTATCTTCATTTTCCCAATTTTTCTTAGGAGAAGTTCTTTTAGATGTTTCCCCAGATGATGAAGCTTCATTAGCCAACATATTATCCAAGTCTTTAATGGCATCAGAAATCTGTTGAGCAGTAATACTACTATATGAACTCCTTTCAGGAGATTCAGGGTATGAAATTTTCCTTTCTTGAATCTCTGTACAGTCTAAGCTTTCCATGCTTTGAAATTGTTTATCTTCATTTAGATCATCTATACTTCCTCGCAAGTTCTGGAGGCTTTGAGAAATATGTGAATTTATTCTAAAACCAATTTTGTCCTCTGTAGAAAGAGACTCTTGTGAAGGAGAGATTTCCTCACATGAATATTCCATTTCTGTCAATTTTTCTCTTTCTTTCTGCAATTCGTGTTTGTTATTCAGAATAAAATCATTTTCAAACCGCATATGAATCTTGGATGGACTAGAAAGTACGGAAATGTTATGATCCTTTGAAATGTTCTGCAAAGCATTCCACTTAATTTCAAATGTTGAAGAGTCCGAGGGAACATCCTTGTTTTCATAGAGGTATTTCAAGAGTGCTGCAACTTTCTGGATCATGGGGCGATCACAAACCGACTTCCAGCATAGTTTCATAATTCCGAACCTGAAATAATGCTAAAGTTTTTTTATCCTGCAGAAAAATAGATATACTGCAATTTAAAGTATACAAATTTTAACTCAGAAATTAAAAACAGTTTAAAAAATTACAGGAAAACATATTAAGTATGAAGATTTTAAAAATTAATAAGATCTGTATTTAAAATAAACCACGTAAGTGTTCATATACACTGAATTTTCTTCATAAACAAGTAATAGTTGTACAATTGCAGTTACATATCTTGGAAGCTAACAAGTGTCAATATTAAGTTCTCATTTTTTCTCACAATCACTTTTTTGTTACATATTATCTTTTTGTAAGTTTACTAATATTTTTTTCATCAAAAGTTTATAACTCATGTATTAACCCTATGAACACAGGCACAATCTTAAAATTCCTTTCTACACATATTACAAAGTGTTACTGAGTTACATTCAAAATTGAATTAAACCACTTTACTATCAATATATTTCAATGAAATTATCACTATCAAGTACATTATAGTTCAAAGTTTTATATTATCTTAGAGTTTATTCTTTTATTTCAAAAGAAACATCAAAAGCAATAATGAAAACTTATCATTTTGTTGTCACGTGATATACAAGCTGTAAACAATTTTGAACTTTCGTGAGATATAAGTAGAGACACACACAACTTTTGTCCTGTACACTTATGTTTAGACAGTTGTATATGTTTATTTGCCCTATTGACACGTGTTTCAAAATTCTTTGGTTGAATGCAGTAGAAACAAGTAATGTATTTTGTCAACCCCTGATGGATACCATGCCCACCTTGTATACTTAGCCTTGAGCTCTGTGAAGTAAGTACCTTTAGCTTGTACACGTGTTTATAGTAATTGAAAAGAGCTAATTTTATACTATAACTGTTATTATGAAATTAGCAACAACTTGTCGTCATCAGGTAAAAGCAACTACTTGTACTATTTGCTGGTTTGTTCATGATACCACTTCAGTTGCTTCGTTCGTAAACATGTTATAGATAGTGTGACAGTTAAATTGTACTTAGGTTTTACTTTTATATTTGAGTTAATTATGCATTATTTTTGTTTTAAAATTCATATTTGAAATGTTTGATAATTTTCTAAGTAAATTCTAATGTAACTTTTGCTCTGCATGTAAAAATCAATTTTGCAAAAGACTAAAGTTTCTCTACTGTTCATACCATTCTTTATCCCGCAGGTACCCGTTAATGTGTGTGGACATAAATAATTAACAGTAAATAATATGAAAGGAAAATAAAATATTAAAATTAAACTATTAGTGAAATGATAAAGGCATGAAATTACATGTATGAACCAATGAAAATATTTTAAGACTATTCTACGAAGGTATGTACATATTTCCATTTCTTAATTTTAAATATTTCATTACTCTGTATGTTGATGACAATAGCTAGAGTTGGTGGTGTAGTAGAAAAAATGGAAAATAAAATATACATATTTACCTAAAAAACTTTTGATATTCATTTATGAGGTTCTAGAGATTATGCAAATGAAATGTGAAAACTGTAAGATAATAAATAGTATTTTTTATACTCAAGAGGAAAATTCAACTATTCAGAGTCAGTGTGTAAATAATTACATCAAATAACAAATGTGTATTAGAAACAGCAGAAAAAATCAAAATTAAATGTTGTATTTTTCTGAAACTACAAACTTTTAGGAAATTTCTTGACAAATTTCAAACTAATTCATCCGCTAGTTTTATTTTTGGAATGATATATATAACGATAGCAAGGTTATGTCCTTACGATATAAGGACCCAGTAGTCATAGGGTTAAAGTACCTTACTGTTATATTTCCAAAAAACAGGTTGTTTTGTTTTAGGCATAAATCTACAAAATGGCCTTCCTATGGTGTGCTCACTACAAGTAAAACTAAATTTTTAGTGTTATACGTTTGCAGACTTACCACTGAATAATGGGGTAATGTATTGTAATGACAGTGTTGTAAATTTTATGATTTTCTAGATTTCTGATTTGGAACACTTTATATTTGGTCACCATTATGCATTAAATTCATCCCTGTTTCAAGCTCCAATCATGGAACTATCTACTGTTTCATGGTGAAACTGACTTTCCTTAGAGCAGTTAAGTGAAATGTTCAATTTCTGTTGGTTGCAAATAATATAACAACAAATGTCAGAGACAATTTATGATGGTTTTTGAAGGCAGGACGATCTATGGGGGTGTGATATGTGGCCTTCACTTTATTGCTTATATCTCCATAAAGAAAATTTTTCTTGCTAAACATGGACAGTTTAGCTTTGGGACAGGTATAGTATAAGTGGGAAATTCCATGGAAAGTTACAAGGCCACATATGTTAGCAGAAAATGTAAAAATGGGAAGTTCTGAGTGAAGAAGTGTCATATGATGCAAAAGGTGAAAATTGAGCATTTATTTAAATATTTTATTTTAGAATTAAGAAATTAAAACTTATATAATACTAAAAACTTGAGCTATAAACTATGTTTTGATGCCAAGTTTATTAACATACATTGATGAGAGTTTAATTAAATTTTGAATATAACACCGTGAAGTGGTCATCACATGTGCACACTTTCATGTAACAATACTGAAGGGGTATAATAAAATACAACAAAACAAGTGAAAAAAAATTAAAATAACCCCTTTTACAATAACTATAATACAGTAAACTTCCAAAAATACAAAAGTTAAGTCCTTGAGCGATAATGATTCACACCAAAAACTATAAATGATATCCCATAAAACCACTACATTTAAGATATAAACCAAAATTAAAACACATTACTATTCCTAACAAAATATGTACAAAGTGGTTAATTGCACATTTTGAAAAATAGGACAGAAAAAAATTTTAAAAAACAAAAACAAATAAAGATAAAACACAGATATAATGATTAACATACAAAGTAAACATTTAAATAAACAAACAAAGGAAAGAATATACAAAATATACACACTTATCCAGTGGCAAGCATTAGATCTAACTCCCCTCACTTCAACCCAGTCAGTAGATCTTTCAATGTGGCAGTGTCCTCCAACTGGCTGCAGTGGTCACCTTGATGATCTCTCAGGCTTTATCTAGAGCCCTTATTGTTTTTGGTCAACTTGAACCATAGCTGGCAAACCTCTTCCTCAAGCCACAACATTGGTTGTGATTATCTTCCTCACAGAGTCTTTTTCCCTGTTATACAGGGGTCACCATCATTTGATAATGCCACTGGATCTGCTATAATGTGGGATGATTGGTGATGATTCCAGGTAGAGCAGTCAGAAGCACAACCCCTTCACATTGTTGTTGAATCATTTCATTGGGCCTCTTAGGTGGCAGGGACTCAACCATCATAGATAAGGAGGCCCCTAGAGATCCAGCCAGAGGTGGGCACACATCTGGTGTCATCACATGGTGGTGAATTACACATCTCTTGATGGGACACCTCATGGGAGACTCTCAGTGCCTTGACACCCACCTCAACTCCTGGTTCACTATCAATAATGATGAAACCAGTGCTTAGCTGAGCTGTTTGCAGGCTCAACTTAGCATGTGTGTAGAAGTGGTGGTCTGAGGTGGGTCCTCCAAAGCCCTGGTGGTTGCTTCATCCAGCAAGGGCTTGGGTTCTATGAGATGATCCATGACTAACTGGAGCTGCTTGGTCATGGGAGACTTCAAACCACCCTTATAACCACCTTGATAAGATCCTTTAAGTCAGATGTGTCAGCTAGCAATGCATCTTCATTTATGGGCTATGCAGAGCTGAAATTCAGGCTGGTTCCAGGAGTTTTGGGGTCATTAGAAAAGTCCAGCTCCTTGTTAAACAGCAAATTTTGAGTGAACTGTTGTTCATCACAGCTTCCTTCCACAATGCAGCTTAAATTCGACCTTAAATAATAAATGTCCAAATAGAAATTGTTATGTCAGATGAATTCCAATATGTCAGAAGGTCAGCCAGGTGAGCAGATTATAAAAATGGTCATAAATGCAAAGTTAAAACTACATTCTCCACTAAAATCTACCTTTAGAGATGGAGTAGTAAAACTATACATTTGTCATGTGACATTGCTATGGGCTTCAAGAATTCTCATGCCTTATTCATCTGTAAAAGATGTATCCCTAACATTTGTCAACTTCTTGGTCCCCAGGCTTCACTAGATTTCCAGCTGATTGTCAGGTTTTATGTATGGGCCAGATTCTTTACAGTAGATGTCTATGACTTGTTGGCAATAAATTTTAACAATAAACAAACAGCATACAGTCCACTTGTTTTAAAATAATATATAAAAACAAATCAAACACATATACAAATGTTTGCTACACTGTTGATTATTGTAGTTGTATCCAGAGCTTCAAATAATTGTATATTTTCATCAAAGTCCACACAGGTTAATTCAGTTACTTTAAAACACAATTTGATAAGATGAATTATTCTTCCTGCTCTGTTATTACAATACAGTCTGTGATAATTTAACTTTAAAATCTCCACTATAACTGTTGGTTACCACAGTTGTATCCAGAGGCTTAAATAATTGTCTCTTTTTTGTTCAATTGCTTTAGAATCCAATTGATAAGACAAATTATTTATTTTCTACTCTGTTATTACAATACAATCTGTAATAAGTTCACTTTAAAAATCACCACTATATGCTATTCATGGCTAAACTCATAATCACACAGTCTAGATATAACTATCTCAAACTAAATTTTGAATGTGTATTTATACCCCCAAAAGGGACCTAGAATGTTCCAAATCTTACTAGATATTATGATGCAATAATAATCAATTACAACAATGAGAAAACTCAGAAGATTCTAATAACATCACAGAATAACATAACAATCATCAATTCATAACTAATGAACTGCACAAATTATGATTCACAAACAGTTATTTAAGCAAACCTGCAATAAACTATTGCTTATAAAAATAACAAAATTTAACAGATTATGCTATATAAACTATCTAAATCATAACTCTCACATTAAACTTAAATCTAAAGAGTTGGTATATCTAACACTGACCAATACCTATAGCTGTGCAACCTCTGTTGTCCTTGCATTACAATGGCTAACACAGCTTACCCTTTGGCTCAGAACCATTCCCTCCACTACCATATGGTTGATAACATAAAAAGAGCCTAGTTCCAGTAAGAAATAAAAGGGGTTGAGACTGCAAAATTATTTCCAATGTATATGAGTTAACTTGGGTTAGCAGATGACAACCTATACTTTTGATAATTAGAATCCACCAACACTTACATCATCTCTCCCTTGTAACTTTCTTTCAGATACAAGGTTAGTAACAGCTAGGTGCATCTTACATAGTTTCACATGTCAATGTTACTTTCCTTCCCTGGAAGTACATTTACAGCTGGCATTTTCATGCATGTTTAAATACATCTAGTACTAAAACAATGCTAAGAAAGTATTCAAAAAGTGTGTATTTATAAAATATTTCAATTTGCATAATTGAAAATATTCTTATCATAACCAAATAAAACACTGGGTACACAAAGTGCACATTTGATGTGATGCTCTGCTAACACATCAACCATGGACTGTACCAACCAATGGATAAGCCTTGGGCCACTTCATGAAGTAGTTGATGACCCCAAGTACATACAGGTAACCTTGTTCCATCTCTGAGAGTGGATTAGTGATATTCTGAGGAGAACCAACAATTCTTTGCTGGAGTTTACCTTATTTTGACTAACTCCTTCTCTGGTGACAATGCTAAATGTTTTGATTCAAATGCAGCCAATAGAACTGCCATTAAACATAAACACATTAAGTGCAGGTAACATCTTTTTTACCCTTCAGTCTTTGTGTTATGAAATGTCTGGAAAATCTCATGCCTCAAAGTTCTGGAAACCACTAGTCATAACACAGGCTGAGACCTATGGCTTGGTGGTAAGGTTGGTAACAATGATGCAGCACAACTTTCTGCACTCATAACTGCTTATACGAGTGCCATGAGTTATAGGCACCTGTGCTTTATTCTTTAACCTGATATGGTCAGGCTTAACTTTGATGCATGGCAAGGAGTGCCAATCTCAATCTGGGTATTTCAGTTGGTCTTCCTAGACCTCCTGAAGCATTAATTGTGGTATCCACCCACTAGTGGAATCTCTTACTGTATGGCATGTAATCTTTATGGTACAAATGGTTTCAACTCCCATACAGTTTCCAGGGTGTGGACATTCAATGAACAAAGTATCTCCATACAACAACACAATCCATCAGCATTTCCTTGTTGTGGGCCTGGACAATTTTGAGCAACTAACTCATGCTTGTGCAACACTGTTATCCAGCACGCAATAATTTATTTTGAATTTTTAAAGTTTATCAATCATTTCCAACTTGCATGGTTCACTTGAACAGTGAATTTTCTATCAAAAGTAGTGTCAACAGTGTTTCATGAAGACTACAATTGCAAGCACTTTTTTCTATGTTGTACAGTACTTGCATACATACATTCTACTCATCCTGCAACTGTGATAATACTGCTCCAATTTCATTATCACTGGCATCACTATCTAGCAATAATACAGTTTTGTCATGGATATACAAGCACAGGGGTTTCTACTACACCACACTTCAAGGACTGGAATGTGTCTCAACTTCAGGGGGAGCTTAATGGCATGACATAAAATTCATACAAACCATTACTCATGCCAAAAGCAGCCATAGGTCTGCTCTCATCATCCACCTCAACTTGCCAGTATCTGGATGCCAGATCTAACATATCCAGACAATCATCTGTTGATGGTAGTGTAAAGGGTCAAAGTGAGTTATTACATCTGCCCATCTAAAATCAAAGCAGAACCTGAACATACTTTCTTTTTTCTGATAATCACTACTGGAGAAACAAAGCACTCTCTGAAGGCTGTATAATGTTATCCTTTAACATCCATTGTACCTTAATGCTGGTTACATCCCTAGTGCTCCAGAGAAGCCTGTGTGGTTGTTGTTTAGTTGGATGTGAAGTGTGTTACACTAACTTTTATTATAAGTAAATTTTTTCATTACAAACAAGATAGACTAGATTTCTATTTCCTTCAAACCTGTTTACTGTTCAAAGGGAAAATGATCCATAATAATAATATAAAAGCTGAGCTTTTAATTAATATAATAGTATTCACTCTCATGCTCCAGAGCAATAACAGATAATCCATAGTCATACCTATAGTGAAATCTTTTGAGATAATTTTTTTCTTTTGCTATGAGCCAAACAAACAGATGGTAAGGGGTGTAACATATATCCCAGCAGCAAGTTGCAATACTAAATGTAATGTTGATGGTATTTTTGTTTACATTATGTGACTAATATGTTATTAGATGCCCTGCAACAAACAAAATCATGTGCCCATCAGCAAATTGTAAATAAAAATTTGTTTAAAAAAAGTCGATGGAGTCTATGTAGATATCATCAGTATTTCTAGGGTTAAGATATTAATGTGGCTATAAATGCTCCACATTTTAACACAGTGACACTTCACTATTGTAAGTATGATAAAAACCCAGAAGTTTAACTTTACTGATGTCTCCTTAAGACTACACTTTAGTAAAAACAGAATAAAATGGCAACCTACAGTTTGTCAGCATGAATACAATAAGTCCTGGGCTTCTCTAACTGAACTGTTTGTTGACTAATAACCTTCTGTAGGACTTCTTCATCTGTCAAGTTTGTGTATGGCTGTCTTCCAAACTCTACTGTTTCCCATAACAAAACACCAAATGACCTAGAGAACACAGATAATCAAGTACTTTTTCTTTGTATTATATTTTGGCAGTTTAGTTATTAAGACAAAATTAAGACATAACAGAATTATCATTCAAACAGAAAAAGGACAAGTATTTTTAATATGGTTGATTCAAACTTACAGCTAAGTTAAAAGCTTAAAAAGACAATTTCATACTGGACTTTTACTTGCTTACCAATTTTCTTGTATTATGTAGTATTTTATAGTTGTAATGTATCTGACATACTTCTTACACTCACCAGATATTTGATTCCTTTGTGAGCTCTTTGATCTCTATGGTAGTTTTAGTACATAACACGGATTCTGGTGCACACCAACGAACTGGAAGAGTGACATCTCCGAGGCTATAATAGTCATCCTATATGGAGCAGGTGTAGTAATAAAATTGTAACTATCTTTACAAAATAGTCATTTTTAATATTATATAAATGTATAAAATTACAAATTCAAGCCATCCCGTGGATAAGAAGAAAAAAGTAAACACTAACACGTCTCTTCTGTACGGTAAATTCTACACTCCTTTGGTCAGCAAATTCCTTGAAAAAATAAATTTAATAAAAGGTCACAATATTTAATTTTATGACAGTATTTGGCAGCAAAAAAGATGTAATGTTACTAAAATATGCAAAATTCATAATTATAAATCTTAAAATTGATGTTAACAGTTCAATTATTTTGGTGAAAACTAGCTTAGAGACGATAAAGCAGTGGAGTAATCAAACATAAACTGAATACAAGCCAAGATGTAAACAGGTGAATGTGCGTTAATTTAACAAGTAAAAGAGACTTGGAAATACAAGACCACACATACAATTGATAGATGTTTTTGAAAATGGCAGTGGCTGTTGAATTTCTAGCAAATATCACACAATCAGGCAACATTAATTTTTGGTAGTAACTGACAAAATGGGAATACATGTCAAGCACAATGCTAAGAAAGTAAAAATTATAAAACAATTTGTAAAGAAAGAAGTTTCTTCTGTTAAAGAGAATTAGCATTGTTCATGTAGCAACTAATTTAATTACTGACTGTATAAACAGTTTTCATCTAAGCATAAGAATATAACAGGAAAAAATACATCTTAACAAGTGCAAACAGCCAGCTTAGTAATCTAATTTTGAAACTGAAATCTGTTACCTTATATTTATGAATTGATGTTCCATACTCTCCAATCTTCACGGTTAGATCAACAGAAACGACACAGTTGCGCGTTGCTACATCTCTAATCAACCAGAAAAAAAGCTGAAGTACTTTATAATTCTTTAAACAATACAAATATACTTGAATCATCACAATTCTAACAGAATAAAGAAAAAAAATTTGGGAAATGCATATAATTAACTCCTAATGGTTTTGTAAAGAGAAAATCACATTTCATTAGCTTTTGGATATAATATTAACAAGGTAATATTCTAGCATACTTACTGAATTTTGCAATTTCCAGGGATTTTCATTCCCTCTGTTTTCAACAGGCAATAAAAGATAACTCAGGAAAGAAGCCATGAATTTTCTCTTACAAGTAAAACTCTTTTCAACTATCACATACCTTAGATTATTTTCCCATAATCAGGTCATGAAAGGTTTGCATTAATCAGCTTTATCAGGACATGATATACTGAAGGAAGAAATGCATGATCATTCTTTTACAATTTATTATAAATTCAAACATGTTTGTTTATTTAGAATTTTCGTGCAAAGTTACACAAAGGTTATTTCTGTATAATCACCCCTAATTTTAAACCAAGAGACAATAGGGAAAGCAGCTCGCCAGAGCACCAATTGGCAACTCTTTTCTGATCAAACAGACAGATCCAACAGCAACTCTTTTAGCCCCAAAGTGCAGATGCATTTTTACAGTAACAGAACAAGAGCCAAAAACTCACAATTCAGGCACACTAACCACTAGACTATGCCATGTCGAGTAGTAAGAAGATGAGGCAGTGTAGATAAGGTAATTTATAAACTACATAAGCTCCTCCACAAAAAGAACAACTTTCTAAGGTGAATCTCATATCTTTCTATGATAAAAGATACACATATAAGATCCACAATATCACTGGACATACGTAATGTTCCCAATGAAAACAGTCAGAAAATACATTAGTTTAACAATTTGGACTGTTAGCCTTCTACACTGATATTAAATTAACAGTGTGACATTATAAGTTCTCTACAAGAGCAAAATCAAAAAAACAATAAATTAACAAGTGCTTCCTCAAAAATCTGACTTTTTCTTTACCAAAATTATTAGAAAAATTCTGTTTCTTTATTTTGAAAATTCTGTTGTCAAATTAATAAAATCCTATTATTAACACTTTGTTCCATAAGGATAATTAACCAAGGGATAAAAAAATCAAAGGATTAAATTCTGAAACTTGACAACAGGTTCAACTTATTTGCATGTAAGATAGATTATATTCATCTATAGGATTTTCTCCTATATAAACATATTATGTTATATATATGGGTGAAATTCTTCCAGTACTCAACAGCACTTACTATCAAGACTTATTTTAATGCCAGTACTCAATACCGAGACTTATTTGGTCTTTTTTTTTTACTCAACCTCCATTCCTTCCATCATACTGTCAGAAAACAGTCATGTAGCAACTCATTTAATGTAAACAATCATTAATTATTCTTCAAATGCATCAATAAATGATCTAATGACATTAATTCTTATTGGCAAGAAGATCACAAGGATAAGATACTTAGTAGTTTCTATGTCAATCATTATTAAACCAATCACATACTCTCATCTGGCTGTGTGATTCATATGACTGGTCTGTAATGATAAATATCTCCAAATGAAGCATTTCATTGGCTAATACACTGTGATTGGTTTCTGACCCTAATATTAGTGCATATAATGCTTTTTGTCATTCAAAAAGATGGGAAACAAAATAAAAATAAAATCTGAGGTAAGTTTCTAATTATGGAACTTTAATTTAGCTGCCTGTAACATATATTTTCTTTAAAACCATCAAAACAATGAATATTACGGAAAAGACAGAACAGTTTTCTGTGGCATGTCAAATAAAATCTATAACAGTGCTTGCTGTGAGTGTTTTAAGAAACAATGCTATATGTGTTTTTCTTTTTTAGTTGTCTATGCATATTAATAAAGGCACAATTTTTTTCTGATAATTTCTCCCTTGGTTAAGTTACATCTGATATCCAGTACCAAAATCTAGTATTTTATACATGAAATACATCATGTCTAATGTTAAGCACTAGTGTCTGTTACTTAATAAATGTAAATGAATTAAGTTATGTTACATCAAATATTCAGTACTAAGTGTCTTTCCCTTTGTAAATGGAATAAATTATGTTACATTAAATATTTTGTATTACAATTTATTGTATTAATTATAAATGGAATAGTTTTATTTTAAGTACTATTGTCTTTTTTATAAATGGAATAGGTTATATTGCATTCAATATTCAGCACAAGGGTCTAGTGAGTTTTAAAAATATAAAAAGGAATACGTATTTTTATTATTCAGCACTGGTGTATTTGAGCTGAAAATAATTTTCTAAATGCAAAATGAAAGAAAACAACATTTTGTAAACTAAGTTCTGCTGAATGAGTTGGGCACAACAAGCACCAACAATGGCAACAAAAAAATCTTCATTTACAGGTAGAGTTTTTAGGTAAAGATCTCATTGTTAATAACTAGATTTTAAAATATGAGATATTTTGAGACCATTGTGAAGAATGGGTAGAATGATATATTTAACAGCTTCCTGTGACTTAAGAAAGTAATTAATGGGTTTTTTAAGGCTATAATTATTGTCTTTAAGGCAGCTACAAATAATTTATTGAAAAATTAGAACCTTTCTTTCGAAAAAAAAAGAAAAGAATAAAAGTTAAATTTCTTCTTGTTTTTTTGTAATCATATCTTAACAGCATTAATTAGCAATAAATTCTTATTTTATGATGCAATTAATAAAGCTGAACTTTCCAAATTTATTAACTTACATCCAAATAAACCCATGTTCATGCATGTGTTGTAGAGCATTTGCAATATCACAGGCCATGCTCAGAAGTCCACCTTCCTTCTGTAGCTGCTCTGAATCATGTCGATGTTGGATTAAGAATGCTTTCATGTCCTACTTAAACATAGATAAGAAGATAATCAAAAAACTTTTACTTGTTATAACATACACATGTACTTAACATCACAAAAACATAAAACAGAACAAATACGGCATGAGCTGCTTGACGATAATCTAAATAATGATAAATTGTATGTCATTCATCATGCAAATTCCTAATTTAAAATTAAGTTATTCGACTGGTATAAAAAATATATGTATAAAAATGCCTTACCCTGGTTTTAGTGTATGAGATGAATTTGAAAGATTTATTTGGTAACAGTAATATATGAAAATGGCAGCTAAATAAAATATTACCATAGTAACTAAAATATATCATTATAGTACACAAACAGAATTAGCCCCAACATTAAGTAATAGATGTTAAAAATTTCATCTCAGGAAAATATACGAGTATTATTGAATTCAAAATTGTACTTTCACTTCTGAATACCAAAATAAATAGAAAAAGTGACTAATCTTTAGTAATAACAATATTTATATGGAATCATGTAAACTTCCAAATTCTAACTCCTAACATAATCATAACGTATCCTGCACTTTAGCATGACACCTGCCAAGATTATTTGAAACTCAAGTGTATACTCCAGAACTAGCTCGCATTGCAATTTAATACCTCAGCACCTTCTATAATATCTAACACCAAGAATGTTGAAGTATACAATTTTCTAAGCAAGTTTTGTATAACCTGAAAAAACTGCCAATAAATTTTTGCAAAATTCAGTAATTAACGCATGCATTAATACATGCAATACGCGAAGTAACGTGTTACAAGTTACAGAGATGAGGGGATAAATAATTAATTTATATATATTTTACTATGATTAAAAAATAATTACGTCAAAATATGTTATAAATCCTCCTATTACATTTAAGGTCTATGATGCTATTCAAGATATCTAAGAGTTTATCATAATGATAATTTACATTGATTTCTAATATTTAACATAATGATAAAAGACATGCACAGAAAAAATTATTTTAAGAATTCAAGGCTGTTTAAATTTGTTTCAAATTGTATTGGGTCTTTACGACCCAAAACTTAAAATAATAGGACTAATGAAATTTTACAGTAACTTAAATCATTATTATTATTTTCTTAATAAAAGCTGTACCATCAGTGTTTCACTGTAAGATGTCACCGATATTTGGGAACTTCCCATATGTGGCAATGATATCTCATGTAATGGATTGTACATTGTTGTTCTTTATGTTTGTGTATATTAAACACTAGAAATTTATAAAAAAGTACTTTTTTTATAATTTTCAGTTATCATATCTCCTAAAAACAGTTACAAATTTTATAATAAAAATGAATAATGGAGATTTTAGCCATAATATTTTATATGGTTGTAGATTTTAGCAATGATGCTAAATATCAGCCATATTTCATGAGGTTTTAGATTTTAGCTATGATATTTCATGTGGTTGTAGATTTTAGCCATAATATTTTATATGGTTGTAGATTTTAGCAATGATGCTTCATATGGTTTATAGTTCAGCCATATTTCATGAGGTTTTAGATTTTAGCCAGAATATTTCATATGGTTGTAGATTTTAGCCAGAATATTTCATATGGTTGAAGATTTTAGCAATGATGCTTCATATGGTTTATAGTTCAGCCATATTTCATGAGGTTTTAGATTTTAGCCAGAATATTTCATATGGTTGTAGATTTTAGCCAGAATATTTCATATGGTTGTAGATTTTAACAATGATGCTTCATATGGTTTATAGTTCAGCCATATTTCATGAGGTTTTAGATTTTAGCTATGATATTTCATGTGGTTGTAGATTTTAGCCAGAATATTTCATATAGTTATAGATTTTATTCAGGATATTTCACATAGTTGTTGATCATTCTTCCAAAATCTGATAATAAGTGTCAATTTTAATGTATAAAAACCTTAAAACTCTCATATCTAACTTACAAATACAAAAACAGTTAACTTATGATATTATATGTTTCTAGTGCATTTTTCTTTTTAAAAGTTATCAATATGATATCAAAACATTCATCTTTGTCTTATAAAAAATTATCTTAATTCTTATGGCTTAGAAAAAGTAAATCAGTGGTGTAGGCATTGGGGGGCCCACCCACTCTATCAGAGTCTGCCTGATAGTTCCCACATTCAAATACATCATACACAGTGCTTTTTTTAGCTCCCTGTAACTTGCCTTCAAGGGTTTTAACATCTTCTACCCACCCATGGTAATTCAGAATTTCGTACCTGGCTATGACACTGGAGTAAATCAATAATATTTTTAAAGGTTAATTTTTAAAAATTTAATGCAACAATGTCAATCATTTGAATGAAATAATATTTGTTACCAAAATGTGTTACACTTTTGTATATTTTTATGAATATTTTATAAAAAACAAAAATAATGGATACATACATTAATGAACCACCCATGAAATATAAGATATATATAATCGTATGTTGGGCAGTTCAAACTGCAGCTGCGATTTCATATCCTTTCTTCGATTAGGGCCCACACTACATAACATGCATATAATACAAACATTTTATTGCATTTCAAATGAGCTGTTACTGACCATGGTGAAATGTTCCATGAGGATGAGGAATGGATCAGTCTCTAGACACTGACTTAACAGATGCACAATATTAGGATGATTAAGGTCTCTAAAGAAACAAATGAAGAAAAAAATATTAAATATCACACATAAGTAAAAAAATCAACATCCTTAATACGTGAAGGTTGATTTGTAAGCAAAAAATACTAAAAGACTAAAAATACTAAAATATAAAATAGTAATACACTCACGTTTAACATTTATAATAGGAATGATAAATTTCTGTCTGAAAATTCCAGGAAATTTCATGATACAAAGTATATTTGTTAAAAGAAAGATGTGCCAAATAGTTTTTGGCTTCTTACAAAAACTGTAATCTGCCAGTTCAGTTACAAAAATGTAATTACTTGTGTGAAAAAAAAAGGGATATTTTAGTAGGTGATCTTACAAACTTTAATTTTTTTCTAAGTTTACACTCTGGGAAAAAATAGTCTTGATAAAGCATATGATATAAACATACATGTGCCAATGTATATGTGCATGTATATATGTAGGCTTTACAAAAGCTCAGTGATCGGTATATTTTGTTCAGAACCAGGTGTGTTTTTTTTAACTGCTGCATGTTTATAAATAATGTTCACACAATTTAATAATCAATACACATAATTTTTGCCCCCTTTGTTTACGTTAATTCCAGTTATGTCTAGATGTTTATCATAACATACAGTCTGTGTTTTGTGTTATTACATGTGCAAGTTATGTGCAAAAGTTACATACACATTTCAAAATTATCAACATTAAGATTCAAGATTAAATCATGTTGATTGCAGGGTAAAATACTGAAAATTAGAAAATTTGTTCTTTCTTATCTAAGATGTACAAGCAACTAGTTTTGTGGCTGGTAGATAGTACTTGTGAGTACCAAAGAAAAGGGACAAAAATAACAAGATAATACAAAATCAAAAATTAACATGTCAGCAAGATATACTTTTGTGTATAATTCACACACATATAACTCAAACACTCTCATGATCATGAACAATAAACTTTAAGATTATGATGTTATCAGCAGCACTTATATTCTGAAACAACCTGAATGGTCGAACTTCATGTAAAAACGATGCACGTTCAGATGGTGAAGCATCTTCACGTAGAATTTTCACTACCACTTTAGTTTTTCGTTGAGGAGGGATGATGTTTTGGGCCTCTCCTTCCAGAACTTGTCCAAACCATCCGGAGCCAATTTCTTGGATATTCTGTAGTTGATTACGTGGGAAGTTTTTATGAGACTCATCTACAGATTCAAAACAGTAAATATTACAGAAGTGTATTAATACTTAAAAACAAATACCACCTCTTGCTAATGTATTATATATATATATATATGTATTTTCTTGTACACTTGATTTATAAATCCAACTGAAAAACATTCACATTTTAAGTCATAACGATAAGCCAAAACTGAAACCAGCTGTTCTAACAATTGAAAAGAATGAATACTGCTCTGGATAAGCTAAAGTACACTACCAACTATGCCATACACAAGCTAATAGTACAGAAACTACCTGAAGTTTTTATTATTAAAAGAGTGAAAACTAAAGAAAAACTATACTTATGCAAACCAACAGTACAGAAACTACCTAAAAATTTTATTTAAAAAGGATAAAACTAAAAAAAAACTGCACTGACACAAAAAAAACTACTTGAATTTTTTATTACTATAAAAAACAGAATTACAGAAACATTGTATTCACACAAACCAACAGTGCAGAAACTAGTTGAAGCTTTTATTATTAAAAAGGAGAGAACTATAGAAAAAACAGGCATGTATATTTTACCTACATATAACATTAAAATAATTTTTTTATTATGGTTCAACATTTCCAATGGCTACTGATCTGATTCTTTCAAGTAAAATAACTTTGAAATTCAAGATAATCACCTACTTTCTTCTTGTGGTTTTGTAAAGTTCTGGGAACTTGATATGTCTGGATAGTTTGTTTCATTTTTATCATCTGATATTGAAAATTGACAATTGTCTGGTACTGAAGGGTTTAAAGCAACCAATGTTTCTTGATTACTTCTTCTACCATATCCATCTAGTACTGATGAGTGTAGAAGAGCTGGTGTCTCTTGGTAGCTTCCATTTTCCTCATCAAAATTTTCAATTTTACCTAGGTGTATTCTTATATTTCTATTCATGTTTAAATCTTTTTCCCATTCATTTTTTGGACCTTTGATCACTGCGAATGAATTTACTGTTAATAGCTCAATAAAAGAGAATATAAACATTACTGCTCCCCCTCGTGTTGATAAATATGACTGACAATCAACATAATGATTGAAATATCAAATAACCAATTAATGAGCAACTAGCAGTTAAATTCATTCACAACTGAACAATAACTTGTACAAAATGGTTAGGATACACAATTAAGTAGTAGCTGAAAATGAAAATATTTCTAAATTGTACATATGAAAGATGTTTTGCGGCTCATGTCAGATATACCTTATGATACATGGAAAAAAGGTTATAATTAGGACTTTTTTGAGAAACAAACAAACAGAAACTAAGCTTTAAGTTTTGATCTGAACTGTACAATGTTTTATTCTCAAACCACTACATTTAACTCTCAAGTTCTGTAATTTAATAAGCCTGTTAATGAGATGATACACTAAAAACTATAATAAACGTTGAACTAGCTAACAATTAGTTAGTGTACAGTTCTTCATTGCACCCTATCTAGAATTCTAAAATAAATAAATACATATTTCATGACCAAGACATTTGGCACAGACACATATACATACTTTCTTGGCATCTTGAGGTGCTGTTATCTAAGTCACAGGTCTCTTCTTCTATACTTTTTGAAAGTAAGTTACTTTGTAGATACTGAGAGCCCATCTCAAATTGTTGGTTGTAACTATTTGTTTCTTTAGGGATCTAGACAAGAAATATATACATTTAGGGATTCTCTCTGAAGAAATTATCACTTACCTAATAGTGTACGTACTTTATACTAAAATTAGTTAAGATTGAAACTTGCTTCCCCTACTATATTTGGAGCTAAGGTACACAAAAGCATGTCCATTCAACTGAAATATTTCAGCCACTTTCATTTACATGAAATTGCTGAAAATTCATTATATACATTTTTGGCATGTACTTGTTCGTATACTCACTTACATCCTAGTTCATGCAATTATACAGAATGATTCCTACACTTCCTGAGTGCAGACTTTCTGTGTTTGCTGACAATGATTGTGAACTATAATTTTCTGTGTGAGTTAAGAACTTAGGTTTATGTTCTAGCTGTGAAGAAATCCTAATTTTTTGTTAATCAGGCAAAAGATTCTTGGTTATTTGTGAAACAACTACAATTTTTGAATGCATATTTATTGCTTTTCTGATTCCTCAACAGGTGTTTTCTTATTACTCTTGGTATAATGCACTAAAAGAAGTTTTTAGCTGCTAAACTCAAAAAGTATCTTATGCAATTCATAGAAATATTAAAAAAATATACCATTTTATAAAAGTATTCATTATATGATTTTTAAAATCCACCTGTAATAGGTATTTGTGCCTAAAGGATAAAAAATTCAAAATATTCTTAAAAACTTTAACTATTTTGTATCTAGGAAATCTGTTATATGGATTATAAGAGAAATATTTATGAGATTATTTTAAGGCTATAACACATCTTTATTTTCAAAATATTCTATTAAATTGAACTACTTTACTTAGAACAACTTACCATTGTATGTGAACCCAAAAAACTGCAATTCTTTAATGCTGAGAAGCTAGAATAATCTGAAGAAGCTTCAATACTATTATCATTTTCTTGGGGGTTTTCAAATGTGGGAGACATTATTCTCATAAAATTCTCCATTTCATCTGAATTAAGATGTCTTTGAGAGATATCAATATCCTCCTCAGATTCTTCAGAATCCCACTGTCTAGAAGCATTTTTTTCTGTTTCCTCTTTGTTTAAAAGTTTTTGAGCCACAACTGGAGCTGACGGTTCTAAATCTTTCAAATTCAAGCACTCAAATGAACCAGATGCAGAACTACATGAAGACCCCATGCTTTGTAAATTATCACTGTCACTGTCAAAATCTGGAGTGTACATATCTCGGCTAGAGGTTTCTTTCCAATATATAGAATCAGGAATCCTTTTACTACTGTTTCTGTCTTCCTCTTGTGGCAGTAAAGAGTGAAGAAAGTTTTCCACCTCCTGATAAATTTTATCATTTTGTTCATCTAGTGCTGGAGTTTGAAATGAATTAGTTACTTTTGCATCAAATGTACAAAACAGTGCAACAGTGTTTTCTTGTAATCCTCATGAAGACACTAAACATTTCTCCCTTTTAGATGAAGTTACATAAAACAAAAGTACAAAGGAGAATTTTGTTTAGAAATTACCAGCAAACTTTGGCATGTTTTCTTCCTAAAATTTCCATAGAATCAACATCTCCTGAAATTAAGCTGAAATTTAAAAGGTTAATTTACATATTTTAATGGTTAGATGAAGTAAAGATATTCAGTTATTATACTTTGTATAACTTCTTCAATCTTCTTTCCAGTCATAGATCTTTATATTTCAGTCTCTTTTTTTGTTATATCACTGGATTAATGCAGAGTAGGCTTCAGGCATTTTAGAATAAGTTCTTTCAATTATTAAAGTAAACACTTAAAGAATAAATTGTATATCTGGTACGAGTTTATAATATATAACAAATTAATAGCATAACACTTGACAAAATTTAAGATAAATAGAGTAGAGTAGGATTTAGGAAAAATAATTTTAACCAATAATTTCTCTCTTTCTTCCTCAGATTAGGCACATTTATCACATCCTCTTATTTGAGATTGACACAATATGTGAATAAATATTTTGCATGTGTGTATACAAACACAAACAAGGGTTAATTACTTAGCTGAATGGACGGCAACTGCCTGTTATGACACGTTCTCCACAATCCATCAGAATACTATAAAGATCGATAACACCATACACACACTGATCTGAAGAGGAAAGGCAGAAAACTTCCGAAACGTCATCCTCTACACTTGTATTTCTACAACAGGCAGTTGCCGTCTATTCAACTAAGTTTCATCATGAATACTCTGTCTAAACAATCTATCAAAGAAGGGTTGAGTACATTGTTTTAAAACAGTAAGTCATATGATAACCACAGCCAAAATATAAAGTTGCTTTCAAGAAGGTATGTAACAGTTCTTTCTGATGCAAAATATTCATACATTCAGATCATAAAACTGTGTCCAGATCAGTGATTTAGAATTTCCAAGATGGGGATATCCTTTGTACTTAATGACATTAGAAAACACAGGAATATGAGTCAAATTGTGGAACCAGAACCATTCAGAGAGAGACCTGCAATAAGTCATATCTCAGTCGTGATAAGAAAAGTGTGGCACCTTGTAATAAGTGAGAATCTATAAACACAGAGGTCAATGGAAATGCTGGCCATGTATCCCAGATAACATAATCAAGAAGGATCTCCATCTGTAAAAGCAACACAAGTCACATGTACACAAGTTGGTTCCATGATATACTTATTCAACTATCACACACACCTCAAGCAGCTGGAGATGGAAAATGAAATGGGTATTTATACTATTATATACAAAAGACATACGGGTCAAGTTGCTGAACATGGCACCTATGAATTTCTGTGTGATTAGACTGTTTAAATGAGTTTCATCAATAAAATTAAACAATTAAAAAAAAAGTAGATAAAAATGCTTTCTCCACTCTTACTAAATGGATTTATTTGGAATTGGGAAACCACTGTCATCATACATTGGATTGGGAAAGCATTCAGGTTTAACGGTTGAGTGTTTCAGACATAACAGTCTTACAATGAGGCCTTCTGCAACATTTCCCAGCTAGCAAGGAATCAACATTTTAGAACAAGGAAGTTATAACATTGATACAACTCTTCATGTGCAATGATACAGAGGTGTATTACTGGAAGGAACTGAAAAGGACTGCAAATTACAATAACAATACCTTATTTAACAAAAAATCAGGCATGGCATTGAATTGGCTGTAGGCTTTCTTAACTAATAAAAATCATACTGCAGTATTTGACAGGTATGGGAATAGTAAAGTTCAGCAGATTCCACCATGTTCCAATCCAGTTTCAGTGCCTTTTTTTTTAACTATCACTCACAAAGAAAGTTCTCTTAGACCACTCTTACTTTTGATATTCTACATTTGCAATATTAAAATGTATTATTAACACAGATCAATAAATAAGCTAAAATATGACTGATTAGAACAGTTTTCACACTGAAACCCCTGATTCATTCTGGATTTTTTTGAGAAATCTCACTTCCTATCAAAATCTTGAGGTAAACAAAAAACAACTTAAGATATTTCTCTAGAAAACGTTATTAAACACATGTACAATTTAATTATGTTTTGACTGTAAACAACTTCTTGCTAGTTTTCATTCATTTTGAATCTTACCATCACTGAGGGAAAGAGAGAGAGGGATATACTGAAGAGAGAGCTCCTCATCATCTTCATTCGGATCCTGCACATTGACTACATCTTCAGGTATCTCCTCATCACCTGCTACTGCTAACTGAACTTCTGTTTTGAGAAAATAATAAAATTTAGTGCTTAAATTACAGTTGTGTTACTTATACATATTTCAGAGTTATCAATGCTTAAAAAGAAAGCAAATTAATTAAATCATAAACTAACCAACAAGTTCAAGTGTTTGATTCTCCTTCCAGAGTGCTTATATGTATGTTGTGTACAAACTATCAGAAATTAAACATCCCACTCCATTTTCATGTCAGCCTTAGACCTAAAACAGGCAGTTAAGACAGTAAACTGATAAATAATATTACTTTACTTATGAGTTTACAATCCATAACTAATTTATGTAGTTTAGAGATCACAACTTTTACTCTATGTGTGAGGACTTTTTTTTAAGGGTGAAGGCATTTAATGACAAAAAAAAGCTGTGTCATCTTTAACATTTACAGGAAAGTGAGCATAACACCTGAACACACCTTAATACTTTTATTGAAGTTGTATTTTAATTTAATAAACAAACTAAAACAAAAAGTCTCCATACACAAGAAAAACATTTAAAACCAGGATTTCAGTCACAGTGTGAGATTATAAAATATGTTGCATTAGTAGTCTAGCTGCTATATATGCAGGATTAAGACTTGTTTTACTATTCCCAATCTATAACTTACTGTATACCCTACTTTCATTCATTTTTCGATAAATGTTGTAAGTTCTTGCTTTCAGACCTGTTTATTTAATTAACTTGTATGCATAAAGTTACATTGTATTTCACATAAAAAGTCTGGCAAACTAGTGTATATAAAAATTACAATTCATCTGAATAGGAAAAAAATAAAAATTGTGTAACAACAATTTGATGGATTTATATCTAAGTTTTAACCATGAATAACACGCTGAAATACTTTAAACATAATTGAAAACTAATTTTGCTGACCTTTATACACATTAAGATTTAATTGTCATCCTTATAATGCACTCATGGCCCCAAAATGTATAGTGTAATTTTTATGTCAACAGGACACAAAGCATGGGCCCTTGCATGCTAACCACTAGGCCAAGTCTGGTCCAGAAAACAATAATAAATACTAGAAACTATAAACAATGCCCAAAGATTTTCATTTTTTTTGTTTGGGCTGAGATTTATTAGAGGGTCATGTTCTATAGCTTCTATCATTTCACTCTTTTTTTTCAGTACATCTCCAAGAATTAGTCCTATTTGAAGAACACTGTAGCAGCTTCATGCATTATAAATGAAAACTTGCTACTTAGAACATACTGATCGTGAGTGATGGGTACAACATAATGATCCTCTTCAGATTCTAGAATGTATCTCGAACATCCTTACGAATATAATCTAACAATTTTCTTTAAATTTACTGTACATGAATTACTATTTTACAGTTTGTTTTCAAACAAGTCATCTAGTCTGCTGTATCTTATTTCGATGTACGGTGTTACAGAGTTCAAATAGTGTGGTGTATGTTATTTTACTGGTGGTATTATACAGATAAGCTAGTCTGGTGTATGTTATTTTACTGTTAAACAGATAAGCTAGTCTGGTGTATGTTACTTTACTCTTTGGTGTTAAATAGATAATCTTGCCTGGTGCATGTTATTTGACTGTTTAGTGTTAAACAGATAAGTGGTCTGGTGTATGTTATTTTACTCTTTGATGTTAAATAGATAATCTTGTCTGGTGCATGTTATTTAACTGTTTAGTGTTAAATAGATAAGCTGGTCTGGTGTATGTTATTTTACTCTTTGATGTCAAATAGATAATCTTGTCTGATGCATGTTATTTGACTGTTTGGAGTTAAACAGATAAGCTGGTCTGGTGTATGTTATTTTAATGTTTGGTGTTCAATAGATAATCTTGTCTGGTGCATGTTATTTGACTGTTTGGAGTTAAACAGATAATCTTGTCTGGTGTATGTTATTTTAATGTTTGGTGTTCAACAGATAATCTTGTCTGGTGTATTTTATATTAACATTTGTGTTAAATCATCTACTCTAGTGTATGTTATTCTAACTTATGCTGTCAAACAGGTCATCTAGTCTGTTATATGTTACTGTTGGTGTTGAATGCCTCCTGTAAGCAGTCTACGTCACCATCAATAACTATTGAAATGAGTCACACTGAAAGATATTCTTGGTTTAAGTTAAGTTAATATGTATTGTAGCAAATGCTTTAACGTGATGTTTGGCTGTTGGCTTTAGATATACAAGAATATAGCTTTTCTGTGGTTGAAACATGAACAAGAATACTTCCACTGTCTTAATAGGCCCATTTTTCATCATTATATTGTTTTCCATAAATTATGAATAAGGTTATTGTTTTAAACAATCTGTTAACTAAAATGGTTTCTCTCTCAAACATCCAATAGAAGAGTCACCATTTGCTATTGAAATAATCGGGTGTTTTTTCTTACCCTGTTCATCATCAACAACAACCAATTAACAGGATTTATCTTTGTCTGTAATCAGTACATTTCCCACAACAGAACAATGAATTTCTTCAACAGTAAGATTAGATATTATTGTACGTAATCTTATTATGTTTTACACACTTCTTATCATTAAAAGACAATGAACAGGCTCTTTTGTATTGTGTTGATTTTTTCTTAATATTAGAACTACTAGTCTATTTATGCTGCATTTCATTGTCAAGAGACAATGAATAACCCTCTTATTTGTCTTCTTTTGTCTGTTTCTACACATTATATTTAATAGTTTAGTTCTGAACAATGAAGTGTTCATCCTTCTTTTCATTGTCAAGATATACTTTGCCTTCTGTTTGTTTTTTCTCATCATTAGCCACAATAGTTTGTTCCTTAACCATGAAGTGTTCATCCTGTTTTTCATTATCACAATATATATTGTCTTCTGTTTGTTTTTTCTCATCATTAGCACTAATAGTTTGCTCCTTAGCCAGGAAAAGTTCATTTTGCTTTTCATTATCACAATATATATTGTCTTCTGCTAGTTCAATATTAGTTTGCTCCTTAAGCATGAATTGTTCATCCTGCTTTTCGCTGCAGCATACTATGTCTTCTGTTAGTTTTTTCTCATCATTGGCATTATAAGTTTGCTCCTTAACCATGAAATGTTTATCTTGTTTTTTATTATGAAGAGATGATGACCAAGCTCCTTCTTTGTCTTCCATCTGCTTTTTATTAACATTAGAGTTATAAGTTTGCTCCTTCCCCATAAAGGGCTTGCCCTGTTCTTCATTGTCAAGAGACAATGAACAAGTCCCTTCTTTGTTTTCTACTGGTTGTTTCTCAATATTAGAAAAAATCATCTGTTCTTTAATCATATCAAGCTTATCCTGATCCTCATTGTCAGGAGAAAGTAAACAAGCTTTCTCCTCTGTTGTTTGTTTCTCAACATCAAAACTCACAGTTTTTTCCTTTATCATAAAGACCTTCTCCTGTTTCTCATTGTCAGGTGCAAGTGAACAAGCTTTTTCTTCTATTGTTTCTTCCTTATCAGCATGTTCCTTTACTATGAAATGTTTATCGTGTGATTTCAAATTTTGATGATGAAGAAACAATAAACAAGATCCTCCGACGTTTTCCAGAGATTCCTTTTCAAAACCAGAACTACCGCTTTGTTCTCCTGTGGTGGTGTTTTCACTCTTTACTGTTATACTGGTGGAGATTTCACCTTCTCTTTCCTCACATTCATAATGACCAAGAAATGGTGAATGTTTCTTTATCACTTCTGTTTGCTCTTTAGAATAGTCAGAGTTACCAATTTGCACCTCTATGGAGTAATCTTCACTCTCTACTACATCCAATGGGTAAATTTCCTCTTCAAGTGGTGATGAAGATTCTTTTGGTTTCCAACAAGTGAACTGTTTCATAAAGTTCTGATCAGAATCTGGAATATTTTTCTTATCTGTTAGATCTACTAGAGAACTACGGCTTCCACAGGCACTTTTCAACTCATAATCCAAAGTTGGTAACTCTCCATCTTCAACCTCTCCTGGACTGAAGTATGGATCTTCTTCTGATTCCTTAAGTACTGTATTCATCACAACAACAACTGGAAGATGTTCTGGTAAACTTTCAACAGGCCACTTTGATTTTAAAGCTTTAGTTGCTTTCTCTTGATCTTTGTCCTCCTCTTTGGGTAAATTCTCACCATCCTCATTCAGAAAATCAAAGCCTTTTGAGGCCTTGTGGGATGTCTTTAAGGAAATGTAGTCACATCCATGTTGCTCCTCTCCTAATATATCCTGGATTTTTCCTGACTTTAATTTTCCACTATCACTACTTTCATCCTCTGAAAACCATTCATTAACAAATGCAGGAGTTTTATTTACCCTCACTTTTTTCTGTGAGCTAGGGGTACTATACTGAATATTATCATCATCATCACTATCTTCACCATCATCTGGTTCATATCCCAATTCTAAATTCTCAGATTTATTCTGAAGTTTATAATGCCTTTCTTCATCAGTAATAGTTTCCTCTTTATTCAAATAAACAAGTGGTTGTTTATGTTCTTTTTCTTTTGGTTGTACAATAGTATTATTTATGGAATCTGTTTCAAGTGAAAGTTGATTATATTTAAATTTATCAAGTTTATCATCTTTAACAATCTTGGGTTCAGTTGTTACACTTTCATCCACCATAAAATGTTGTTTTTCTGTGCAGTTTACTGTTAAGTATTCAACCTTCATTGGAGAAATATCACATCTACTCACAACTGATGTGCCATCTGTCTCCAAGTACTTTCCTTCCTTAGTAGCTTCTTCTAATATAAATTTGGATGAAGGTTGCTGGGATATCTGTTCTTCCTTTTTATCCACTATATACTTTAATTTTTCATCTTTATCAATCTCCAAGTGATTTTCTTGATTTTGTAACAATTTTCCAGAAAGCAACTTTTTGGAAGGACTAACAGTAAAATCAAAAGTGGCTAAGTCTTCATATCTAATCTTTTGTTCATTACTATCTTTTTCCAAATGCATAACAGGTAAGATATTTGGTGTGTCCAATGCTTCATGGAGATTTTTTTCTGGTATACGTTCCTCAAGAGATTTTATTACAGCTTCTTCATTTTCAAACATTTCGAAGTTGCATAATAAATCTTCCAATCCTTTAGTTTGTTTTGTCAAAGTATTACTTTTGATATTTTCTTCTGTGCTATTTACATAGCCATGATTTGGAGTTACCAATTTCCAATCTTGGCCTGTATCTTTTGACACTGAATATTCAGAAAAGTCTTGAACATCTATGTATTTTCCATTCAATAAAGTATCAACATTTGTTGATGTCAATAATCCTTCAATGGAGTGTGACAGAGCAGATGTTTGACCATGAATTGTTTCACTGCTGATATTAATAGCATCTTGAGATTCAAGCAATGTATCACTTTTTTTTTAATATCTTTATTTGAAGATTTACGCCAGTCCTCCAAATCTTGATCTTCATATTTACCCCCTTTATTAATAGAGTCCTCTGTTTTCCACTTGTGAAGAAACAAGAGGCTTACTGGCTGTTCAACCTCAGATAGATAACTTGTCTGTAAGTTAGAATGATGGCTTTGGAGTAAAATATCCTTATCTTGTACTCCTGATCGCGATTCAGGCAATTCAGTATCAGAAAATGTTTGGTCTCCTGGGTCATATACAAGATCACAGTGCTGTTCTATTTCTACACTGTTCACATCAACTTGTGGTT